CCAAGAAAAGTAATATATCAAAATTCAGCATAACAACTGATGGGACAAAATCAAACAAATTCACCATTTCAACTATCTGGACTTATTAACACCATAAAATTGTAAGTGCGTAGAAGAGGTTAAAATGAGAATAATGTTTGTTAGGACACCTTTCAAAATATGAAAGCTATATTGACAAATAATAATGTGCCAAAAGAAGTAAGAAAACATTTCTTATTTCTTACAATGTTACATCGAGTCCATACTTATGTGCGGTTTCAAAACATGAACAATAACAAAGGAAGTTGAGAGAAAACTTGAAGCAACCTAAATGTGGTTTTTAAGAAGAATGCATGGACTAAGAAGAAAAGTAATGGTACAAGTCAACACAACACATAGCATTATCAAGAAAATAAGTAAGAGATAAGCAGAATTCATATGCCATATGATGAGGAAAGAAAAGATGAAGCACACGGTAATAACCAGCAAGATAGAAAGAGAGAGAAGCAAAAGAAGACAGAGAATAAAGATGCTTGATGGACTCACAAAATAGTTAGGAGCCGCGAATAACAACACAAAATTGTTGAAGAACAACAGGAACAGAGAGAAATGAAAAGTCATGGCCGTCAACGTCTGCATGACACTGGAGATGAAGAATGCTATTTCAGGAGCCATTACTACATGATCTACATATGCGACTATGTACTTCACGCCTTCTTACATCTGTGACAAGAGAACTCTAATTCCATTTTCACTGGCATCTATATGCATAATGAATGGATAATTCATAGGATAAGTTAATATTCGAGCCTTAAAAAAGCACATTTTAATGAGTAAACTATTTGACCACTGTTTTTAGTCCATCTAAAATGCAAATGTACTTTAGTCAGACAGCAGTACAACTATATTTGAGAAGTGGACTTCAAAACGTTAATAAAAGAACACACAGTATACAGAGCAGTGGACTAACCTTTTATTCAGAAGCTAAGTACACCCCTCAGTTACCGAAATGTTTGCATGATAAATATAAACTTCATCCCTGCCTATAATATGACCAATAAACTCCACAGATGAGCGCATAAGAACGCATTTTCCCCTTCTCCAGTTTCAAATCTCGTTTTCTTATTCACTAAAATATCTTTCTCAGTATCTCATCTATATTAAAAAGTCATCTACATAGGTTAAACATCTCTCCCTCTTCCATCATCAGCCACCTCGAAAGTCGATACTACATCATACACGCTGATTGGCGGCCACGAGATGCTTTCCACCCATCTTGAGTGCTGTTATAAAACAGAAGAGTGAGCCTGGAGAAAGCTTGAGATGTTCTTCCCAGATTGGTGACCAATTATAACTTCTTGCAGGGCTATACAAATAGCTGTCTCCTCCTCTTGACCATCATCGTGGAAATGACTTTTATAAATCACAAATATACAAGAGTATAGAAATGCACGTTAAACATGAACTCCATAATGACAAATCCTTGTCATGATACAAAAATTATTCTCAATAATTCAGTCTCAGCTAAAACTTGAACCAGCAGGTAAGTTGGACAATAACACGATATTTATAAAGATTTGTAAATTAAGCATATATAATTTTCACCTGGATTAAATATGAATACAGACGTTATGTACACAAGTGAACTAACTATTGCGTCTTTTTATACCTAACTCTTTACTTGCCTAGGTCGGCTATTTATGCCATTATTGATGTTGAACACAAAAATTACAAACAAGTCTCAAGATATTTGCACATTAAGAACATTATGACAATTATGAAAGATTCAACTTTGCTTAAAATAATAGTGTGAACGCTAATCTATATAAACTCTCCTCGAGTGCTAAGTTATCCATGTTTTTATACAAGTCTTATTAATAAACAGGGAAGACTATCTTACCAGAAACTTATTAAGAGTACCCTACCGATCATCTAACAACCTGGCTTGGGTATTAGGGCAGGCATGTCTGTCGAGCCATGTTAAATCCCGAAGCGCAGAATTAGCGCAGTTCAAGGCTGTGCATGTATATGTTAAAAGTAAATGTGTTTCTAAACATGTTTTCCTATATGGAAGTTTGAAGTAATAACATGAATAAAGATATATACTTATTTTATTATAGATGGGTTTAGTTTACAACATCTACATATCACACGGGGCAAAAACTGTATTTTCCAAATAAGTTAGGAGCTCGACTTGCAACCTGCGGGTCGCGGGTTCGAATCCCCGTTCCACCAAACATGCTCGCCCTTTCAGCCGTGGGGGCGTTATAATGTGACGGTCAATCCCACTATTCGTTGGTAAAAGAGTAGCCCAAGAGTTGGCAGTGGGTGGTGATGACTAGCTGCCTTCCCTCTAGTCTTACACTGCTAAATTAGGGACGGCTAGCGCAGATAGCCCTAGTGTAGCTTTACGCAAAATTCAAAAACAAATAAACAGCAATGAAATTTTACTTACGTTATGAAAACATTTCTTATTATATGTATGTCTAGATGTTTTGACTATTCCAACCAGGAAATAGCTATTACTCTGATTAGAAATGAAATTGAACCGTTCAACAACAACGAAGCTTAAGATTAAACAGAAACATTTAAATGATAATTTTTGTAACTTTGAGTAATAACAAAGTTTACCACTAATCTTGGTAATACTTAAAACAAAAGAGAATTTATTTACCATTTAGTTGTTGAGCATTTTTTCGTCGGTCTGTAACATTTCCTAAACGAACATTTATTATTCTGATCTTCTAAACTGAAATATCTACAAAATTTTAAGTTTAGTATTTTGTCAAAATCACATTTTATTATAAATTGTTATTTGCATGAAATGATATCGTTTTTACGCTTTGTTAAACAAAGGTTTAGATTTTTATATTAAAAGTTTGTTTGCTTGTTTTTAGAACAAAACCACATTGGGCTATCTGCCGTGTCAACCTCAGGGAATCTAACCCCATATTTTAGTGTTGTAAGTCTGTAAACTTACCACTATCCCTCTTTAAAAGTACTAGTTTCATTATATAATATGTAACTTGTAATATGTCAATTGTGCTAGCTCAGATAGAGTTAAAAATGTAATTGTTTCTCGTGAACTGGAAATTCGCTCTTTTTCGTTTCCTGTATAATGTTTCTGACAATTGTTCTACTCCGACAAATAGAGAGGATTTGGCAAGAAATTTGAGAGATAAGGTAACTTTATAGTTAAAATCAACTCTGTTTTTTGAATATAGGTTGAAGATGATGTGCACATCTATAGATTATATATTATATACATACATATATACAAATCTACAAGTATTGTAGTAGGAAGATGGTTAACACTGGTAGGCCAAGAGTGGCCGATGAGGCATACCCTGCTGCACACGCAACTGCTACCACTGAAGGTCAGTGAACGGTATGGCCTCCCCTACATTATAAAAATCTAGACCACCACGTGATCGGCTTTTCTCTCTCTCTCTCTGAAATATGCAAGCACTTTAAAATATTTTAAAGTACTGGGAGGGGAGAGGCAAAATATGTGTTGGTTCCTGATATAGTTGTAGCATGAAAGTATCTGTATAACACTAAAACTTAAAAATATAGACATGATGATCCAAACGTTTGCTGACCCAGGAGAGTATAGAGTAATCTTCTTTAATTTGTTTGGAATCGGATTAATGTTCGAGTAAGTTTGAAGTTTACTTAAGCAAAGCACACAGACTGACAGAAGAATAAAGAGTGTGATGCTACATAAGTCAGGTGTTATCTACTCAAGAAAAATAACAGTATGAACAACTGACGTTAGGTTACCCTGAAGATTACAGGTTCATTTACACTTAGCACCTCAAATGCTTGAACTAAACAGTTATGAAAAGTTTTCGTTATTACTTTTTATGTTTTTATTGCTCAGTTAAAGTCTCCCTCTGGGGGACAGCGGTAAATCTACGAACTTATAACATTAAAATCTGGGGTTCGATTATTCGAAGTTGAAACAGCAGATAGCCCATTGTAGTTTTGTTCTATAAAAACAAACAAACTTATTTATAGTCTTAGTTAAAGTGACATAGTTATTATATTTTAACGTTTTTGTTGTTAAGCGCAATTCTACATCGCGAGTATCGAAACTCAATTTTTAACGTAAAAAGCCACCAGACTTACCGCTGAGCCAACGGGGAGGGGGCTGTACAAATGCAATGAAATAATGTTACACCTGGTCGTGTCATATGTCTTTATGCTTATAGCACTAATAATTATACTTTGTCAATTTTGCGATAATATATATAACGTGGAGTTATCCTGGAAATGTAATTTTACTGAACTATTCCCACGTTTAAATTCACACTCAAAACTTACTAAACTGTATTTGTATATTATTATATTTACATATGTATAGAATGATATTTTCGCGAGTTCATATACGTTTAAGTGTTCAATATTTTACAAGAGTGTATACGGCATTGTTTATAAATGACGTTGATCGAAAAGTCACGTCGGCAGTAGCTTACTACCAATATATAACAAAAACGTCGAGTTCCGTTTATAGGAGTTTGTCTCTTTCCTCTTTCACGTATTTATTTAATTATATTTTAAAACTGTAAATAAAGATTTTAAAAATGCTTCAGCTTTTTAACTGTTTTTACTGAAAAAACTGACAAGTTAAAAAAATATGATTGTATATCTTGATTATTCAAGGTAGTAAATATAGGTTATTTATCGAAAGTGGACACATATTGTGACGAGTAGAAATCACTATATACTGATTAACTATTACACCGCAACCTCTTGACTAGCATGAGTAAAACCGATTTCCATTGTTGATGTTGTTTATATCCAGATAACTTTCAGCTGCTTCCACTAGTGAATTGCACACGTCTTTTTATGATACTACAGGTATTTGAGATGTTTGAAGTTTCTTTTAAAAAATTTCTAACATGTCAAATGATTACGAATGTGTTCATTCAATGAGGCCGATCGACATATTATCCATTGAATATAATCGAACAATTTGTTTTACGAAATGTAACTCAATTTTTTTTACGTTCATAAAGGCACTGAAACTAACAGAAACCCAAGTGAAAATATGGTTCCAGAACAGGCGCTACAAGACAAAGCGACGGCAAATACAGGATCTATCAACTCCAACAGCGACAGGAAGAAAGGTTGCCGTGAAAGTCGTGATGAAGGACGATAAAGTGGTTTATAGACCGGAAGACCTTGTGCGCCCGCCGTTGTTGTATCCGTCTTTTCCCATTCCAGGCTTTAATTTTGCATACTTCTATTGTCCTTGGCTAATGGGATGCAATCAGTAAACAATATCTTGGATCTGAAGTGAAAGTCAAGTGAAAAGTAACATGAAGTAACTTTTTTCCCATTTACCAAAAACCTCATGATGTCACTATTCTTCAAAAATAAAATAACCAGAACATGTACTTAAATAACTCCAAAGGATTCAAACTATAGATGATGTAGTAATAAGCTTATTGATCATGATAATTTTGCGTATTTCACTCATAATATGGAAAACAAATAATAAATTGCATGTTATATAACATCAAAGCTAGCAAAGCAAAACCCTACCCAAAATAAAAGATGAGACGAAGCTTCACAATACATTGTTTATAACACTTAGTAAATGACTATTATAGAAAACAATGTAACCCAATCGATCCAAGGGTCTCCGGGTAATATTAAGCAATAGGCCACATCGGTAATGGAATGAGAAAGTTGTGGTGAAATGTGTTCTTTTTTCTTCTAACTCAAACACAGCTAGTTTTAATGATCAAAATGATTTCTATCTTCAGTGAGAAATTCCTCTGGAAACGGTAATAGAAAAATACATTCAGTTTCAGAGTACATATCAATGTTCAACACGAAACTTCTTAGGATTCAATTTTTCGTATGATTGTCTGATGACATCTGAAGGCAGCTGCCAGAAGATTGCCTGTAAATGACCCTGAAACCCATAAAAGGTGTGGTTTTATATTTACCAATAAGTTTGAAAAATTGCATAAATAACATTCTATAATACGATTTTAGTCAAGCCTTGTTTGTGAACTATCTTCTTCCTTAGCTAATTGAATTGCAACTTATATAAGAAGTTTTGTTTTTATTTTAGTTTCTTATTACAAGAAACAAAAGATAGGAAAGTATAATAATTTTTTTATCGATATTTTCTTAGGCTGCTTACAACAGTAACCTTTTATTAGAATATATTTATTGCGACGCCACTTAACATTTAAATTATAGTAATACACACATACACACACAAATACACACGTTTATATATATATATATAT